CTCCTCATGCCTTCTCTCTCCAGCTCCTATTTTTTGGACTTTCCTCCACCTATTCCCAGTGTCCAAAATCTGAGTGATTTCCTCAGGTACCCTTGCTGCTGATTTGGGTGTCTTGTTTAAAAGAGAAGTGAGTGGATGGGAATCTCTCAAAAGACTGAGGTTGAGGGTGGAGGAAATAGGCCCAAGTCTTGGAGTCTTGGTTCCTGTTAACAGTGTTTATGGGTTATTTCTCCCTGTCGCTTCTCCCCGGGCTCTCGGGGCAGGGGTTCGGACTTGGAAAGGGGTCTGTGCCCCGCCCATCCCGGGGCCCCTCCTTTGCCCCGCCCTCCGAACCGCCTTCCCCATTCATTCTCTCCTGCGGGGTGTCACCTGCGCCCTCTTCTGGTCTCGTGTTTGGGGGTCTCTGCTTCCGGTCATCCAAACCCTGGGGTCCTTCAATGTTGGTACCTATTCCAGGACCCTCACGGGCCCTTAGTTTCTCTTCAGCAGCTGGAGTACCCATCTATCTTCTCGGTTATACAGCCTCGGGGCTCCTACACTCTCAATTCCCTCCAATTTCTGCCATCCTCCTTCCCCTCCCCCATGTCGTAGCTATACCTGCTTTCTGCTCTGCTTCAGCCCCATTTTCATTCTTCTCAAAGTGATGTCTGTTGAAGACCCCATCTTTGCTAGATAGTGCTTTCCCCCCTCTCTCCCTCATCTTCATTTGCTGGGTCACTGAGGTTCAGAGTGTAAAGGGAAGAGATACCTTATAACTTTTTGCTTGAGTTTTCTCTTTGATGGCACCACCCTTGTCTACTTTGTTGGGTGATGGTGATAGAGATTGAGGAGTCTAAGGAAGGAGAAAGCAGACGGGAAGATGGCTAGTGGCCTTTCTCTCCAGCCCTTTGATGTCCTTCTATTCCTTCTGGCTAGAGAAGAATTTCTGGCCTGAGATGCTGAAGTGTCTGCTGTGTATGAGAGGTGTATGTGTTGGAAACTGTGGATCAAGACTTTCACAGTGAGGCCAACCAAGTGGAGTGGTGGAACAGTGGTTAAGGCTGCAGGATCCCACATGGTCAACTGTACGGTTGGAGTCCCTGACTCCCTGACCCACACTCCCCCCCCCCCCCACTTGGGGTCCCATGC